GGTGAGTCTGGCACCGAACATTAAGTACGCTACGTAGGGTGGTACACGCATTTACATGCTGCCATGATGATCTTAAGATCCTAGTTACTTTTAATTAAAGACCTTATAACAACACGTTTCCTTGTAGTCAGTTATTTACCCGTAGTGTGGTCCACGTAGTTTTTATACATCGTAGTGTGTTTTATTTCTGTTTTGGGACTGGTAGGGGGGATTGTAACTCCTTGTGGTGAGAACCAGTGAGACTGGCCTACTTGCAGGGTTCCAAAGCTTAACGTTGTACGTTTTATTGCTTTCATTTACGTTACTTGTCCTTGTCAAACTGCTTATTAAAAATCACTACAACTACAACTACTACTACTACTACTACTACTACTACTACTAATAATAATAATAGTATATATACAAAGACGCGTGAAGTTGCTCTTAAACAGTTTATCGTTCGAAACGCAAACGCAAACGTAAAGGTTTGTATGCGGATGCCTCAAAAAACAGTGAGAGACAGCGACAATTGATATACTATGACAGTACATATTGAAAGACGTATCTGTTATGTTACACACAGTCCCTCTGACGAACTGTGTGTTACATCATGGCTCAGTGTCAGTAGCCGCCCTACTCAGTCCCGCTCTTCTTATGGGGTGGTCATTCAGTGTCAGCCCACATATCGGTCTCCGTACATTAATTATTTTTATTCGATTGTCTCGTATAAATCCTACTATTAGCTATGTGAATTATTTAAATTAAAGAGAAAACTATTTCATTATTTCCCGTTCCTTATTTTATTCTTGTCCGAAAACGGACACAGAAATGCAAATAATAGTCACTGTGAATTGAATCATGGATGTAAAAGACTGAATGCAGTTCACGTAAAAGTTCACTTCAAGAAGTCGATTCCATGGGCTTAGCCGAGCAAATAAACTATTCGAAAGTCAGTAAATTAGCCCGAGTTGAAGTCATCGCATCGGTTTTGTTTAAAAACATAAAATGAAAATGTCTGACATTAAATGTAAGTTTATATTATAGGTAGACCAGAGTTACTAGTATATCGGCAATTGTAATAAAAACAACAACAATACAGGGCATAGTAGAGAGAAACATTTAATAATTTATTGTGAATTTTTTTATTTAGTTCTTTGTTGAAAAAAAAAACTGTTCAAACAACAGAAGATGGACTTTAGAGCGATTCGAAAACATTTACATCGGCTAAGGCTTGTTTATGCTTATCGAGTTTATTGGAGAATTTATGGTTTGTTTTTACGGTCAAGACTGGTGGAATGTGCCCTGAGTCCTAAAACTTTAACCGTAAACTTTACTTAGAAGACTTTCCTAAGCACGGTGGCAATGTTTTGGTCTTTCATAAACACAAACTGCCATTGAAAACGTTTCATGCCCCGTGTGTCAACACACTCTATCGCCGTATGTGGTCTCGCGTCAGACTAGTGGCATGACTTCGTGACTGTGATGTAAATGTAGCAAGGATGTGCTAGAACATATCGTGACTTAAATAGCCCCCACGGCGATACTTAAATCCCTAGTGCAGGATACCGAGAAAAAAACACGCAATCGTAGCTGTACTGTGTCAGATGAATTTGAGATTTGTATCCGTTCTGGTGAAATCTAATATCTACCGTGGGTCTGTAGCTAGCCTGCGTTATGCTGAAACTATTTTTTAATATTGCCTCATCTTATAGATTCCAATGGTGGGTTTAACGACTAAATGAAATTCACACTATTTATTTGTGGTGTTCATTCCGTTGTATAACCGATAAGATGAAAACTCTGATGCAAGTTGTTTTCGTTCACGTGTTGACAACTGGTTTGTTATCTGTCCGTCAAAATGATATGTAGCTTTCCGCTTCAAGTTCTAGGAGGAAAGTGAAACCAACGTTTAATGAGTTTTGTAACCGTGTTTTTCTTCCGCATAGTTCTCAGATCTTTTGTGAACCACTATCCGTTTGCTGTGAGTGAATGGACAAGTCAAACGATTATATATATATTGTTTAGGAATTGTCATCTAACTGTCCAAAAAATACATATGTAACTCTGTCGAAATAGTTGGATGTAACCTTAAACAACACTCATTATTTTGCATTCTGCGATCGCGTTAAACTTAGTTATAGCTGGTTTTTTTACTATACTATCGACACAACAAATACATTCCTTTTATTTTTATGAATATTTTTAAATTTATCATTTCTGTTGGTCAATGGAACATTGGAACATTTCGAATGACGTTATTGAGCAACGCACTCGTTGACTTACTCGTTGGATTCAACTGCCATAAAATTTGCGAACTTTTTTATAAAAATGAAGAGAACGGGTTTAATGTCGATAGTAAATTAATGACAATCTCCTTTAATAAATATGGCGAATTAATTGCAAAATATCGGCGTGGACGCAAAATCGCCCGAGTTTGGATGATTCGCGTGTACACCACCATTTCACCAGTGTGCAAACTCACAGATTTTGCTTATTTATTGTAAAGCAAAAACTAATTATTCAGCCTGAAGCCAATGTGAACATTGGCGTGACGCCTGGGCTCCCAGGAACTAGTGTCAGGGCTGTGTATATTTTGACGCCGAGACTCATAGTGCGGACAATGACGCAGCGCCAGACTAAACGAAAATCTAATGCTTTTCAAGTTACGTCTCACATTTCATGGCAAAGTTCAAAACTGTTTGAAATTAAATTTTCCCTTGGCGTTCGGTTTGTTGAAATTGGTCACTATTCAACAGTATACCAACCCTGCATTGCAATGAGAGCGCGGCACTGTCGTGACAACGACGTAGGGATTTTTTAAGTAAATTATTAACCCGCCAAAAAGTTAATAACAAATTGGTAACTACTGGTTCTACGCGCACGCATGCGTAGTGAAACAAAATGCTATTATGGACGGGAAACGGAGGTAGCTGGCTTCAGTATTCCTGGTGTCTGCCTTTCGACAACGTCATCAACCAAAGTCAGTGACCGCGTTAAAGATGCCAAGGGCCTTTCTCGTCAAGCAGGTTAAGTCTGTTTTCAGATCGACGGAGCTCAACGAAGGTAAGATACTATTATTCATTCATCACAATGGGTTGGGCTCGCGCACACAACTCTTGCATATGTGTCATCTTGAAGTGTGCATACAAGTTTACAACTTTATAAAATTGAAACACATCCGGAAAGTTGATCACCAAATACAGTGTGCAAGTAATTTTCTCCCTTCCGCTAAGTTGTGTACTGTTTTTTTACCCATGATCTTTACTGGGACGTATCTACACAGGCTAGGCAGAGCATTATCATTAGTATCAAATATCCAATACGGGGAGTCGCAGTCACTACTTGACCCGGCCACTCTGTCAACCTAGTAACAGCGAAAACTAGCTGATATATTTCCCGCAAATGATTGCTTGTGTGGAGTCCATCGAAACTGATTTGTCTACGGGGTTTAAGACCACCTCTATTTGAGCACCCAGAAGCGGTGTCAGTCACATCGAAACCGTCATGCTGCTGGTTTCAGTTGCGAAACTCGACATTAACCAGGAAGTGAGCAGTTGCGACTCCGGTCCATGTGTAACACGATATATGTTTCATAGATGATGTTTTTCTTTTTCAACTTACATATTTATGATAGTAGGTCTTTGCAGATTAATAATGTTATATTATTATTTATTTAACCGTGCAATAGTCGCATGTGCTGACGTTGTCGGCATGCGCCCCTGTAGCTTTAGGGGAGTTTTCAAAGAGCTCTATTATATTAACCCCTCCCAGTCGGTTTAGATTGAAATACGATGCCGTTAATCTTCTTTTACATTACAATGAAGTCTTTCTTCCGTTGCTTGAATTGTTTATATACACTGAAAAGCGAACACGACAACGTTTGTTTTTCAATTGTACCGTTTTACTGAACAACATTCAATACGTGTGTAACCCACAAAACGAACGATGGGCTATGTTTCTGGCGCTGAAATGAGCTCCATATTTAAGTAATTCTAGTTACCGGTTTTACTGCCGTAGCAGAGTATGAATGTATGACATCAAACCATGGTAAAAAGTATTTATGCAAAAGAGCCTTGTAGAGATTCACGTTTTTTATATAATTTTCAAATTTCCAAAATATAATATATCTTTCCCATAAATTTTGTTTCTAGTTGAAAACAAATTTTAAAGTTAGAATGATTTGCTGTAAGATCATTTCTAAAATTAAATATGAAGATAAAAAAAAAACTTTCACAAAAAAAAAACCCTGAGTGCACACATTACGGGAAATATCTTTCACCTTCTGTTGTAAAAGTGTTTTAGTTTTGTTAAAATTTTGGTTATATTCATGAGTAAAACAATTAGTTTTATCGTTTTTTACATCAATCTGGCATATTTCCCTGATCAAATAGAAGTGAAAAACAAGTGAATACAACAATTTTTTTTGTTTTATATATGTAACATACCCTAAAAATACTTTGACAAATATATTTAAAATATTATATATGCATGCATAACGATACTACAATGATATATGGCAGTACTCCCATAATGCTTGGCGTTACTCCCACATTGCATCTCCCTTCTTGCATAACCACTTTTCCTACTTAAAAATACTGATTTAATATTAACAATTGTATGTAAATAATCTATTTATTGTTCACCTTAAGGTAGTTGCAGCCATCTTACATAAATAGGACTGAAACATTATATCAATTTTTTTTTAAAGTGTAATATATATATATATCTGCTAAGACAAAAGCCATAAACTTTTCAGGTTTTTTTCCAATACAAAATAATTTCCTGGAGATACAGGGTCTTAAAAAAAAGTAAACAATTTTTAAAACAAAGCATTATTTTTTTAAAGAATAAATAATATTTATCAGAACTGGTCATTATCGCCCAGGAATAAAATTTATTGCAAAATGAAGATAATTTGGGTATTATTATGAGTAGACTTCTACCTTAGTACTGTGATTCTCCTGATGCATAGAATTTAATGTACAGAAAATAGTAATAATTAAAAGTAATATGTCTTCCCTTCATTCATCATGTTTTCACCACCATATAGTATATATTAGTCATTTCATATTTTGTTGGTACAGGTAGTCAGTAATAGTCGCCGTGACTCTCTGCCTGCATAAGCATGAACATTAAGACTGGGGCAATGATACAGTAGTTGCCATGTTTACCTTGCATCAGGGAGGTTCTGGATTCGATTCTCGAGTTGACTTCTCATTCAGCAGTGTAACTTTGAGTACATCCTTGCAAACACGGTATTATGTTTGGGAGACTGGTTTGCATACATTCACTTGCAAACACAGAGTACATTATGTTTGGGAGACTGGTTTGCATACATTCACTTGCAAACACACAGTATTAGGTTTGGGAGACTGGTTTGCATACATTCACTTGCAAACACACAGTATTAGGTTTGGGAGACTGGTTTGCATACATTCACTTGCAAACACACAGTATTAGGTTTGGGAGACTGGTTTGCATACATTCACTTGCAAACACAGAGTACATTATGTTTGGGAGACTGGTTTGCTTGCAATTAGCATATAAAACAAAAAAAGTCAGGAGAGACAGCAGTGTCTTTAATGATCGGTCTGACAAAAAAATATTTAAAAAAAACACATAATTGAGGATAAACAAAATGCATGAATAATTTGTAATAGTTAGATGCTTCTTTTATATTAACTTGTGCAGAGTTTGGAATCATTGATCTAATCTGAATAGGTTGAAAGCATGAAAAAAAACTGTATCTATCCTGTTGAACATATAACATGTATATAAGTATTAGAATATATTAATAGTTCAAGGCACATATCTAAATAATAAAGTAAATTCTTCTTGTCAAATGGCCTGCAGTAATATTTGTTTTTGTATGTAACTTCAGTGTATTCTAATTATCATCTTGTAATCAATCTGCTAATAAGGATACAACTTCAACAAAGATAATTATTATGATGTGTGTCTGCATTTATTTTTAAAAATGAACGCTAATATTGGAGCCAACAGACAAAAATTTTCTGTTTTTACTCAAAAAATTTAGCTATTTTTGTACCAATCTTCTGAGGGAAAGTGCAGACTATAACGGAACTATTTTGTGAATTTGTGATGAAAAGAGGGAACGGTGTTGAAAAGGTTAAACAGCAGGGTTGTCAGTAAGATTAATTTTCATTTCTATTTCTTATTGGATTAAAAAGACAGATTTGCTAAACAATAAGAATAATAGTTTCCCATGAATCCATGGTGTAATCATGGGGATTGAGGAGCTGTGCTTTAATTAGGTAGTTTGCATATTGATGTTCACCAATAATAGATTTGTCAATAAAGTCGCTCACGATTACAGTAATATAATATGCATGTGCAGTGGTTATGCCAGGATGCAAGGGTGTGGTGATAACTGAAACATGTTGTAATCATAATCACATGTGGTTTTGTGGTAAGGCCATATTTAATCACAATTATGTTATATATATCATCACACATGAAATTGCAAACTTTTAATAGATTTGGAAAAAAATAGGCAAATGATTTTAAATAATAATTCTAGGGATAAAATTTCTGTTATTATTGCCAAAATTTTTTAAATATTGCATGTGCATTTTTTTTTAAAAATCTGATAAGCACTATTTTGCATGTGAAATTTGTAATGATTTGCAATAAATTTCAAAATATACATGATACATATCTTAATTTTGTCATTTTGAAATAATTACTATTTAAAAACACCAGCATATACTGATGATGAGAAAACTGATGAATGGTATGATGCTAAACATAAAAATAAATGAGTGTGGCCAGATAACATAATGTATGAGGCTTGCTACCCTAACCACATTATAGGTTGGTGAAACTGACGATATAGCATCAAAGTTTTCTGAAGCGATCTCAACCTTTGTGGTAGTCAGTGGTGTCATCAACTGCGGTTGTCATGATGATGAGTTATCATCTTTGGAGAATTTCAGGTAACATTCTCTTTAAATTTGTATTTTTGTTGTTGTTGTCACGGCGATTCCAGTAATTACAGTACACCCTGGATACATATTTCTACTTTAAAACTTTTACATAATTTAAAAAATATTTTCACTGGCTTAGTGAGAAAAGAGGTTATTTTCATTTATTATAAGTATTGATATATTCAGTAAGTGGACGAGAGATAACCGTACCGTATTCTGGATTGGGGTGGCCGGGAGATATGACTTAGGGCCATATCCTGATAAACACTTCGCACAGTTATCAGCTTTCCACACAAAGGGAAGTGAAGCAGGATACTAATGAAACTATCAGCTTGGCAAAGATAACATTATTCAGTTTATATAGAAATAGGAAGTGTGATATCTACACTACCACTAGTTTTAAAAACTAAGTTTTCCTTCAAAGCAATTTCTGAAATAAAACTCATAAAATAAGAAGTTTTTATGCTCACTGTGGTTACAATATATTTGAACACGAGGAGAGTGGTCAGGATAAATGAATAGTGCGATAGAGAGCAGGTGGTGACTAGCTACATGCTAATCTTAGTGAATGCGGAACAGGGAAGGAGACCAGGACCTTTGTATCTTGGGTTACAGCCCCTGGTTTTGAATGCACAGAACCCATAATTGATATATTGATTGTCCTTGCATGAGAAGCAATGATATCGTGATTGGACAGTATTTAAAAAAAAAAGTGTTTTAGAAGTTAAGTATTTGATAACTTTGTGTAATCTAAAGTTATTTACATTCTTAACAAACTGATCATCAAATCTGCTGAATAGATTATCTACATTAAAAGTTACTGTTGTGTCTGATCATACATGTAGATGTAAAAATCCTTAATCTCATCCCTTAGTTTGGGTTCTATATAAAGCTGTACAGATAAAAAAAAACTGTTGGAAATCCTGATCCCTAACAAATGAGAAAGGATTATCCAAAATTATAAATACTTTCACACATTTCCAGGATGGCTTTTGTACTAGACTCTATACTTTAAAAGTCATTGTCCTTTGATTATTTGTTGATATGTTTATTCGTGGCTGTGTATCATGTCCAGGATGTCAGGCAGGAACTCTCACAATGACAGTATAATGTGAC